ATTGCCTTCACATTTTGAAGGACTATTTGAAGAACTCATAGTGTTCTTCCTTTTATCATTACCACAATTAAGATTATTATAATTCTGTCCCTCCACGCCCTTATTCATATCATTAATTATTTGTCATCTTTCAGACTAATCATTCACTGCTACCATATTCATATGATTGAATGGAGAAAGTCAACAGGCGAATTTCAGAGTTATCACATGGTGCTACCACATTCTTTTCAAGGAATGTAGCAAACTCAATATGACGAATTTTAAGACTTCATCATTATATCATCATTATGATGCATTGACTCAAACTCAATGTCTTATTCATATAAGGCGTGTTACGCCATAATTCTATGGGACTTGAACCCAATCACGGTGCATCAAAACTCAAATTGATGACTTACCTTTGGGTGCGATAGATTTTGAATTTGTCGTCTTATCCTCAAATATTTTTCATTATGATGCATCTGGACTTTAACCTGATGTCTTACCCTTTTGGTGCGATGAAACTTGAATCCATCGTCTTACCCTTAACCAACGGTATAATAGACCAAAGTACAACATGACTCACCCTTTGAGCCTTTCAAAACAATCAAAATAATATTCAAACTCATGCTATTAAAATTTTATACCTTCTTCTATTTAAGAAATTTTGTATAGCCTGTCATATTCAATCAATAGTAGTATATGTCTTCGGTTCCTGATATTATGCATATAATACTTTGATCTTCATAACAATATCAACCAAAATATGAGCTAAAGAAAAACAACAACTCGCACTCAATTGGATAGAATCTCGTGCTAATAACGTGTTATAAAATCAAGCTCATACGAATATAATCATAAAGAGAAGAAGACAGGAGAAGTAGATAGAAGAAGAGGATTTTCCTTCTTATTCAAGTATATGTAAGTTTCATATGTCTATCATACAATAGTGAATGAACAATCCTATTTATAGAGTGAGAAATCACTCCAAAAGTCACCATATTAAGTATCATAATAAATATATATATTCTTATCCAAAAAAGTTCATGAACCTAGTGAATATGGATGGTTGTTCGTGTACCAACTTTATTAACTATCTACTCATTCAATGGATTTATAACACATATAAATTATTACTTTTTTTAATAAATATGTTAAGTCAAAATTCAACAAGTGAAAAACAATAAAAGGGATATTAAGATTAAAAGAAAAATCTATACAATAGTATGAAAGGTTTTTCTCAAAATATAGAGTTATTTTTTCTCAAACACATAAAATAAATCAAATGAATTAAAAACTCCAATAGTATTGCATTTTTATTTTTTTACAAGAAGAGAAACTCCAACTTGCCACTAATTAGTTACCCCAATCATAAACTTTGTACATCGAAAGAACTCCACTTCTTTTATCAAAGTATCCCAAATAAAAACACTATCAAAGTATCCCAAATAAAAACTCTAATTAACCACCCATGCACATGTAGTTGAGTAAGCTGCAACTTTTCCATGAAGGATACAATTTTGAGGGTCGTTAAACACGTCAAATAGACAGTTGTTTGAATCCCACATGAAATAACAAAAATATAAAGTATGAACCAATAAATCCTCACAAAATCACCAAGTGAAGTTTTTGGTACTAGATAGAAACTGATCTAAGATCAAAGGGAAACACAAATAATAACAACAAGAAGATGATCCTGATAATGCTGGGGTAACCCATTTTTAGAAAACATAATATTGTATATTAAAAACTGATGCAAATTTACACAAAATTTTGCTTCATATCTTAGAAACAAAATCTTAGATTTGAAGTCTAGAAATTATAAAATTTCTTAAAAAGCTTCTAGTGTATTTTTTATAAATTAAGCTTCTAGAAATGATAAAATTTCATTCCACGTGGATGTGTTGTACGTGCCTATTGCCACCTTTGTCTCATGCCTACCCCCTCCATTTCCTTTTCAATTCTCATATACCCCAAAAAGGGAAATTGGTTCTCCAGAAGCTGCTCTTTTCAATTCTCACAAAAGAAAGAAAAAGGTAATAACTTTCATCTTTCATTCTTTCATTTTGCTGCTTCAATGTTCCATGCGTTTTTGAACTCTGCTCCACATAAATATTTTTGGATTTTCGTCTTTCGTAGTGTCGCTTCAATTTTAAGGTACTTCGACTTTTCCTTTAGTTTTTGAATTGTTGTTGACTTCTTCTTAGTTTTCGAATTTGCCTTCTGAATTTTGAATTGTTGTATTTTAAGTGTATGTATTGCGTCGGAAAATCCTTATGGGTGTCTGTTTAATTTCAATTTACGATGGTTCATAAATTTTTTTAATACATTAAAGTTGTATTTAGATTAATAATTTATTATGTTCTTATCCTAGTGAAAATTCAAGAGAAAATATCCATGATTTAGATATGCTATATGAGTGAGATCTTTAGTCATCTTTTCATACAAGTAATCAACTTGCAGGTAGCACTGATTTGGTTGTCCTAAATCAACACTTTGTTTCCTTCTGCTTTTAGTGTTGATTTTTATGTTTTTTAATGATACTTTATTATATCATTTTGAATTGTTTGATTGAATTTGAAAAAGTTCACCGCCGCCTTAGTAAATAGCACTATCAAGACCGGTTCTTTTGTCTACTAGATTTCACATATAAGTGAGTAAATGCATTATCTGGTTCTACAACTTTGGATTCGGTTCAAGTTATTAGACTAATAAATGTAAGAAAATTAATGATTATACTACAACAACAACAACAAGTAAATAAAAAATAGTAAAATTACTAACTCATTTATTAAAATCAAATTTAATAAGAAAAAATTATTTACTTTTTCGGCTTTTTATATTTTTCTCATTTATTTATTTTCATTTTCCAACTTTTTTCTCTATCTATTGATTCCTTTTATTTTCATCATTCAATATCTTTATTTCGTGTTCCTTTTCTTTTCTCTTTTTTTTTGATTATTTTTGTTTTATTTTTTCTTCTTTTACTATTCATATTTTTTCTCAATAATATTTTTGTATTTTTCACCACACTTTTTCTTCTTTATTTTCTTTATATTATTATGATATCATGAATGTTGCTTCAATGGTTCAATGAGATAATCATGATAACATCAAAATATATCTACATATTTATGGCATTATTGATGCATGCTTCAATCCTTTAATGGGACCTTTATGATACAATCACAATATATATTTATAGATTGACATGTTATCATTATAGTTTGTATTCAGTTTGTAATTATATCATCACATTAACTATATATTGTAATGGTGCTATTGATGTTTGCTTCGATTATTCAATAATTGGATGATATCATTGACTGATGATCACTTCTTGATTTCATGATTTTTTAATGATACCATCAAAATATATCGTATAACGACATGGTATCATTAAAAATTATTTCATATAATCAGTAGAAATCTTCATATCAATTATGATATCGTCATAGCATATAAATATATTGTTATGATAGCACTTAGGTTTCCTTCATTACTTCATTCACAAAGTTACTCATGCATTAATGATATCATGACGATATCTTATACTGCAATTATATCGATAAGGTTTCCTACATCCTTTCATGTACAACCAATTAATCTGTAATGATATCAACACATTATATATCGATAAGATTTCCTACATCCTTTCATGTACAACCAATTAATCTGTAATGATATCAACACATTATATATCTATATATATAGAGAGAGAGAGAGACACACACACACACACATACATATAGAACGATATTATATAGAACGATATCATTGAATTATGAGCTATTTCATGAGAGAAACTCATGATTTCTCAATGATATAATTAAAACATATCATATACTAACATGATTTTGTCACGATCCAAAAATGGACGTGATGGCACTCGTCTTATCCCACCAAGACAAGTCAGCCTAAAACTCAACCATTACAATAACTGCGAAAATAAAATATAAGTAATTTAATAAAAACCCCAAAACCTGGTAGTCACGTGTACAAGCCTCTAATTACAATTGATTCAAATGAAAACCCAAGTCTCAAATGAACTTGTTTCTAGAATAGAACAAGATCATAATTAAGGAGAAGAAAGTCTGCTGAAATGGAAACAGCTACCTCACAAATCTCCAAGAAGCCTCGAAAAAGAAGAGAATGACAAGTATAACAAAAATCCAGGCTCATAACCTACAAAAAAATTTGTAGAAGCAAGGGGTGAGTACCAAACCACATGATACTCAGCAAGTAAACCTCTAAACACAAGCTAAGGGGATGAAATACGGGTACTCCTACCACCCCCAACCGAACCTCCACAACTACAACCTGCATTAAAATCAACCCAACCTAACAACTCACAGTTTACATAGCACGTAGCTCAATAATAATAGTTAGACAAATTACATATCCTCAACCACAACACTTTAACAATTTACATATCCTCAATAACAATACTTCAACAAACTACATATCCGCAATAACAAGCTCAATATTGATCAATCACAAGTTCCGCCGAAAGTCAATCAAAAGATCAGCAAAACATGATATCAAATTCACTAATGATAAGTATGTGCTATGCAATGTCAAGTATAATGATGCATGTCTGACCTAGTGATACACACCCGCTGTCTCTCAGTCCGGGACCCATCGAGGACATATCTGTCCATGCATCTGTTGCGGCGCACGACACGACCCTCGATAATAGTAACCAACGCGGCGCGCGATACGTCCCTCGAAATATAGTATCCATCGCGGCGCGCGATACGTCCCTCGAAATGGTACATCTTCTTAAGTACTCATTCTTTCTCAATGCACATAACACTTGTAACAACCAATGCCTCAGAATAATGCAGATGACAAGCTCACATAAATAATGATGAGATGACCATTTTCATAACAGCGCACAGTTCACAACCACACAAACATGAAGTCACATCAACAATGATTCAACAAGCCTTCCAGCTTTTCTCAACACATCACACATAAACAATTAATCACATTGCCTTTTGTTATCTTTTTTTTCATCATTATAATTAATCAATGTGGACAAGTCAACCCATCACCAATCCCGTTACTTCCAAACATATACCACAAGGAAATACACGCATTTCATACACTTAACAAGAGTTTAGAAATCTACTTGCCTTAATTAATCAACAATTTACTCGGAGACTTGAGCCTTCCCTTTTCGTTGAGCTTTCAAATTTATACAATCTTTTCAACTGCATAAACACAATAAGATTTTGAAACTAAAAATGCTCATATTAGTATAGGTTTCTAAATTTCACTCCTAGGGTTAAGCTTCAACTTCCCCAATATCACCATTTTAACGGTATTCATGTAACACAATATACCCAATACTTTAATTTTATACAAAAAAAAAAACAAGTCTAGCACCATTTTATCTTAAAAACAATTATGTTATATTTTGACCCTCAATTTACGTCTTATGCTTAACCCATAGCCACGGACAACATGTAGTAATTCCTCACAAAATTGTTGTGACCTAAACAAACTTGAAACTGTAGTGTAGCATGTATTGAAATAATTATGCATATACCCCTAACATTTCAATTCCCTAAATCCTCCCTCAAAAATTGAAAACAAAAAAAAATATATAAAAATAATATTAATGGTAGCATTGTTTCTTGTCCCCTAAATTTCAAGCCGCCAAGAACAATACAACAACACCTATATGCCTTCACAATTGTCAACCTTCAATTTCATATACCTATTATTCTAATATAATAATAATAAATATTAATTGTCTTCGCTACGCTCCAAATACTTTATGAATCAGTACAGTGCATCAATGAAGAAAATCAATACTACTCTAATTAATTTCATATGATAATTGGATTTAATGCTATAATCAACCATTGGAAATTAAGGATTCTGTGTGTATATTTGAACTCCATTAAAAAAATTATGTTAACCTTCCTGAAGGCGGCGACGATCTCTCTGTTCGTGTTCGCCGCACGAATAATTTTATTTTCTTTCTTTCTTCTCTTATTTTCTTTTTTTAAATTATATATGTATTAAAAGTAACACTTTCTAATAACCTATTTAAATGTTTTAAACTTGGCCTATTATTATTAAAAATAAATAAATTACTCGACATTAATTAATTTAGTTAAATGACAATTTAAAATAATCAAAAATGATCTTTTCGGATCCGGGTCATTACAGATTTCATTCCAAGATTATTTCATATAATTTTTATAGAACACACACATATATAGCACGATATCATTGAATTATGAGCAATTTCAAGAAGAGAGGAACTCATAATTTCTCAATGATATCATCAAAACATATTATATACTAACATTCATTCAAGACTATTCCATCTAATCTATAACACTCTCCAGATTATGTATAATACTGTCATAATATATGAATATACAATTATGGTAGCACTAAGGTTTTCTTCATTCATTTATTTACAGAACTATACATTTTTTAAGATACCATAACAACATATAATATTAGTTTCTCTTTTTAAAAAAGAATGACATCTTTTTATTTCTGGTCCTCTTTTTTTTGTAACATTTTAATTTCAGATTTTCACGTGGCATGTATAACGCCACAAGATTAAAGGACAATTTTGTACGTTTTACATAACTTCAATTATGATCACAAGATTCAAAAGTCTTATTTAATTTCTTAAATTTCGTGTCAAGTTAAACTAGATCATTCTTTTGAAACGATGAGAGTACAGTGGTATCATTAACGTTCCTATAACCATTCATGTACAACCAACTCATTTTTCAACGATACGATTATACTATATCATATATTGACATGATATCATTAAAGAATGAGTACTTTTGTAAGTAAATTAGTGAATTTAATATTACGTTTTTTATTAATCTTAAAGTAGTTGGCTTATATTTTTATCTTTGAGTTTTATTATTTTTTTTCTTAAAAATAATTACAAGTGACAAAAAAAATGTTATTCAAAAAGAGAGGGAAAAAGTAAGTAAAAAATAATAAAAATGATACCATGACGATATATAAATAATGTAATGCTATTATTACAAAGTGTAGCAAATAAAATAAAATAATTTTTAAAAGAACTAAATGAGAAAAATAAAACTTAAAAAAAGATACAAAGAATGACTGAAAATATGAAGTTAAATTGTGGTTAGAAAATAGAGAATATTATGATTTGGGAAAAATAATTAACAAAAAAAAAAATAATAATAATAAAGAAAATATCATAAGGGAGAAAAATGATAAATAATAAAGAAATAATTAGAAGGGAAAAATAGGAATAAAAATAAAGAGAAATCATGTGGAACAACATAAATTTACCAAGAAAAATAAAAAAAGAGAGAACATAAATAAGAAAAGAAGTTGGTTGCACAATTTAAGATACTGAAAGTTAGTGCACAATTTAAAGAATTTTGATGCAAATTAGATTGGGGGAGAAGTCTGGTAAAATATTTAGGCAATGAATTTTACAAGGGTGAATATATTGATTTAAGTCCAATTTAGGTAAAAAAAAAATCATAGTGGATCTAAATATGTGTAACTTTCCTCTCTAAATTGATAATTGAAATGCTTGATTTTCCCTTTTCACCTCTGTGTAAATTAAGTTGTTAAAACTTTAAGAAATTGGAGGTTCTAAAGTAAAACATAGAATTTGAAAATGCATAATGGTTGAAATATAATTAATTGTTTAACTTGTGGGAACATTTTATTTAAAAAATTACAATTATAATTTTATTAATAAATACTATATATTCCATTTAATAAGATTTTCTTTTATTAATCTACTTGATTTTCAGTTAGCATGTTATAAAGCTCGAACAATTGAGGTTCTTCTATTACTTGCATCAAAATACCAAAAGGTAGAGGAAAGATCTATATGAAGTTTTCTACCTTCAGAGCTTGTTATGTTTCTCTTCTCTTCTTTCTCAAATAGGTTATCGTATAATCTTCATTCAACCTTTGCTGCTTGACTTACACATTTTTCTTATGATTTTTCAATAATTCTGTGACCCTTCTATGAAAGGTGCACAATTTTTTATACGCATATATAACACATATTTTTAAAGATAAAAGCATTGTGTGTTCACTTGTATATCAATATAAAAACAAACAATTTTAGCATACATCATACCAACCTTGTATGAAAATTGAGGAAGAGTCTCGCATCTTGAGCACTCTTTCTAATAACGTTCTTCTTCTTTTTGTATAAAATGTTTATTTTCTTACTTTAGAAGACTTGCCTTCTAATTTTGTAATAGCAATATCTGAACCTGAATCACAACGCAGTCATCACAAAATCACAAGACAATCAAACACAAGAAAGAAAATAAAACGCACTCTCTGAAAAATTATTTGTAAGTTCACGAATAAGGTTGTAATATAATAGCTCTTCAGAATAATACGACTGTGTACTAGCACTTCACTTCCAAATTTTAAAAAATACCTCTCAATTGGCATCTCCAAATTGCAAAAAGAAAGATATTAAAAGTAAATAAAGAACAAAACATGTACAAAAATACACTTTCAATGTATTTAATTGATTGTTTTGGAACAAAGAGGAAACACCATATACAATTAGATAACCAAAAAAATCAAGCTTTAGCGGTTAAAATTTTAAATAGTAAAAAAGAAAGAACAGATAATTATTTGGAAACAGATTAGCTTTGTGCAAACTGTTGGTGGATAGTCATGAGGACTATGCTATACCCCTTTTAGAAACACCTTTTACCTCTTTCAACAATGTTAAAAGCAATTGATAATGAAGATCAATACAAGTTTGTCAAGAAACAACAGAGATGACTACTGAAGTTTGTTAACCTCAATTGAGAGACTCCATAGTCTCCCCAGAACACTCATTTTCTTCCTTTATCTCCTACATCTTGCATTGGCTTGTGCATAGAAATATACATTTTGCATTATCAAGTAATGGAAAAAAAGTAATTGTAATAATTTCAAAACTAACATTATAACCTTTACAACGGGCTATATAACTTACCTCTTTTGGTTGATAGTAGGACTTTTTCGGGGTGCGGGGAACGAAAATAAAGAAAATTGTGAAAAGATACAGAAATAATACTTTTAGTCAGAGTATTTTTCTATCATTTTTTTCTCTCCCAAAAAAGTGTCGAACACGTGCTATTACCTGAATCGATTATTCTCACTTCAAGTGTTGTTGTGTCATACTTTTATGGTCTTATCATAACCAATAATATAGATGTAAGATTTATTTATTTCCGGTATCATTTGTAGATTCCAAGTATATTGGGATTCATGTTATGTGTACCCCAAATGACGCATATCCAGCCACCGGCAAACAAATCACCTTTGTCAAACTAATAAGAAATTAAAAAGAAGAAGCAGAAACTCTTGTTTAGTACGCAGAGAATTGTGAGTGTCTTCCCTATCAAAATAAGGCTATAAAAGTGAAGTGGTGAAAAGAAGCCGAAAATATCAAGCCCAATCAAACATAAATATGTACGGAAATCAACTAATCCCATATGGTTAATGAAAACACGTGTTTGAAATAACTCGAAAGGAAATGACACATTAGTAAGAAGAAGAACAACAACAATATTGCACAACAATATAATTAACTATAGTCGCAAGTATCAAAATTTTCAAGAGATGGTTGTAGATACCGGTCAATGTGAAGACATATTGCGATGTCGATAATGTAAGGTACATCAATCAAAATTACAAAGTCTCTCTTTGATAAGATTTCCCCATTCACATAGCTAGAGATATAATTGATTTTGCAATTTGATTGCTTGGTCATCATTTCAGTGACAATTTCATCGCAAGATATCAAAAAATTTGCAAAAATATAATAGAGGGGACATGTATTTGAAAAATTAAGCTATAATGAAACTATATCAATTACAGGTGACTTTGAAAAAATAATGGGTATACTGACCTCTTTCAACTATCCAACTTTGATGAACTAAGCATCCAATTCGAATAACTAATTTGAGAACTTGCAAACATGTTCACTTCCAGTCTTCTCTACAAGAATTCATAGGCAATTTGTCATGTGACAACCAACAAGCCCAAAATACCCAATCAAGAAGTTCTTTTGCAAATATTTGAGCTACACAACATTGTAAGTATCTTAGGATTAATTACAATGAAAGCAAATTATGAGAGAAAGTGGGGAAAAGACGCTAAATAAAGTGTTGTGCAACTCAGGCATAATGTATATATCTGAAAGAGTAAAAAACTAAAATTAAAGCAAAAAGGCACAAATATTCAAAGAATTGACAAGTAATGAGTATAATAACAGTGAAGAAAGGGAAAAAAGCTCTAGGGACCATCACACATGAGAGCATAGGTCTTTTGTGGTATAACAAATCCACAATTTCTTCAATTGAGACCTTCAGCGTCTCAAATAATGTGCAAAGCTTAATATTCTCAAATAACAAATGAAAACAAAAACTCCCAAAATCTCAATATAACGGACTCTTAGCTTCAAATTTAGAATCATGATCAAATGAAACTAACTGAGTTCCCTATTGAATTTTAATTAGTGCCGAGGCATCTAAAGGTAGAACGTGCAAGTAAGAAAATTCACAATTAAACTAATAAGAAATCAGAAAATCTCCAAAGTTTTGGATTCAAAATTTCAAACAGAAACTACATCCCTACAGATGAAATTTAGGAAAGAGATGAGAAAAATAAGACAACAAAAATTTTTCAAACAAAAAATCAGAAAATTTACTTTTCACCTTTAGATGTAGAATGAGAGTGAGTTCGAAAAGACGTGAGATAAAATTGGAAAATAGCAATTGAAAAAGCAATTAATTTCACTTTACATTCACACGTGGAGACTCACAGTCCTTCCAGGTGTTTTATGGCCAATGAAAGAGGGACAACAAACACTCCACATTTGACGGATTGTACAGGTTTCTCACAATGGTGTTGTACATTGCATGAACTTCAGTGTACAATTTAAACAGCTTTAAGTACAATAATATAGCGGTACGTTCGTAATATATGTATATCAAAGATTTATTATTAACTACTTCCTCCTCTCCTATTTAGTTTTCTAATTTTTCTAAATTTAATTTCTCCTTTTACTTGTCATTTTTTATGAAGAAAAAATAATTTTAATTTTTCCTGTCATACGCATAATTTATTACTCCCTCCATTTCAAAAGAATAATTCTATTTTTTTTTAGTCTGTTTAAAAAAGAATGACCCCTTTGACTTTAATTTTCCAGGTGGCATATTTAAGATCACAAGATTAAAAGGTATTTTGATATATTTTGACGTAACTTTAATTTAGAACCACAAGATTAAAAAACTTCTTTTTTTTTCTTAAATTTCATTCCACGTCAAACTAGGTCATTCTTTTTAAAATAAAGAGTAACATTTTTTGAAAAATGTACGAGTAAATATGTTTGGTACCCTATCAACTAAATAGGAATAAAATATAAACTCGCAGATAAATTATTAATTTTTAAAATAAATATGTTAAATCAAAATTCAACAAGTAAAAAACAACAAAAGTAATATTAAGATTAAAAGAAAAAATCTAGACAATAATATGAAAGATTTTTCTCAAAATATAAAGTTATTTTTTCTCGACAAATATAACATCAATCAAATGAATTAAATACTCCAACGAGTATTGCATTTTAATATTTTTACAAGAAGAAAACCTCTAACTTGCCACTAATTAATTACCCCAATCATAAGCTTTATACGTCAAAGAACTACACTTATTTTATCAAAGTATCCCAAATAAAAACAGTATCAAAGTATCCCAAATAAAAACTATCTGTTTAACCACCCATGCACATGTAATTGAGTAAGCTGCAACTTTTCCGTGAAGGATACAATTTTGAGGGTTGTTAAACACGACGAATAGACAGTTGTTTGAATCCCACCTGAAATAACAAAAATATAAAGTATGAACCAATAACTCCTCACAAAAAGACCAAGAGAAGTTTTGGGTACTAGATAGAAACTGATCTAAGATCAAAGGGAAACACAAATAATAACAACAAGAGGATGATCCTGATAATGCTAGGGTAACCCATTTTTAGAAAACATAATGTTGTATGTTAAAAACTGATGAAAATTTATACAAAATTTTGTTTCATATCTTAGAAACAAAATCTTAAATTTGGAGTCTAAAAATTATAAAATTTCTTAAAAAGCTTCTAGTGTTTTTTTATAAATTAAGCTTCTAGAAATTATAAAATTTCATTCCACGTGGTGGCATCCATGCCTATTGCCACCTTAGTCTCATGTCTATCCCCTCCATTTCCTTTTCAATTCTCATATATCCAAAAAAAAGGAAATTGGTTCTTCAGAAGCTGCTCTTTTCAATTCTCACAAAGGAAAGAAAAAGGTATCAACTTTCATCTTTCATTCTTCCATTTTGCTGCTTCAATGTTCCATGTCTTTTCGAACTTTGCTGCACATAAATACTTTTGGGTTTTCGTCTTTCGTAGTGTCGCTTCAATTTTCAGGTAATTCGACTTTTCCTTTAGTTTTTGAATTGTTGTTGACTTCTTCTTAGTTTTCGAATTTGCCTTCTTAATTTTGAATTATTGTGTTTTAAGTGTATGTATTGCGTCGGAAAATCCTTATGGGTGTCTGTTTAATTTCAATTTATGGTGGTTCATAAATATTTTATACATTAAAAGTTGTATTTAGGTTAAAAATTTATTATGTTCTTATCCGATGTGAAAATTCAAGAGAAAATATCCATGATTTAGATATGCTATATGGGTGAGATGTTTAGTCATCTTTTCATACAAGTAATCAACTTGCAGGTAGCACTGATTTGGTTGTCCTAAATCAACACTTTGTTTCCCTTCTGCTTTTAGTGTTGATTTTTATGTTTTTTTTATGATACTTTATTATATCATTTTGAATTGTTTGATTGAATTTGAAAAAGTTCACGCCGCCTTAATAAATAGCACTCTCAAGACCGCTTCTTTTGTCTCCTAGACTTCACATATAAGTGAGTAAATGCATTATCTGGTTCTACAACTTTAGTTTTGATTCTAGTTATTGGACTAATAAATGTAAGAAAATTAATGATTAGACTACAACAACAATAGTAAAATTACTAACTCATTTATTAAAATCAAATTTAATTAAAAAAATTATTTACTTTCTCGGCTTTTTATATTTTTTCATTTATTTATTTATTTATTTTCATTTCCAATTTTTTTTTCTATCTATTGATTCCTTTTATTTTTATCCTTCAATTTCTTTATTTCGTGTTCCTTTTCTTTTCTTTTCTTTTTTTGATTATTTTTTATTTTATTTTTTTCTTCTTTTACTATTCATATTTTTTCTCAATAATGTTTTTGTATTTTTTACCACACTTTTTCTTATCGTTGAATATTGCTTCAATGGCTCAGTGAGACATTCATGATAACATCAAAATATATCTACATATTTATTGCATCGTTGATGCATGCTTCGATGCTTCAATCCTTTAATGGGACCTTTATGATACAATCACAATATTATTTATAGATTTACATGTTATCATTATAGTTTGTGTTCAGTTTGTAATTATATCATCACATTATCTATATATTGTAATGGTACTATTGATGTTTGCTTCGATTATTCAATAATTGGATGATATCATTGACTCATGTTCACTTCTTAATGTCATAATTTTTTAATGATACCATCAAAATATATCGTATAACGACATGGTATCATTAAAAATTATTTCATATAATCAGTGCAATCTTCATATCAATTATGATATCGTCATAGCATATAAATACATTGTTATGATAGCACTTAGGTTTTCTTCAATACTTCATTCACAAAATTACTCATGCATTAATGATATCATGACGATATCTTATACTGCAATGTTGTCGATAAGGTTTCCTACATCCTTTCATGTACACCCAATTAATTTGTAATGATATCAACACATTATATATCGATAAGGTTTTCTACATTCTTTCATGTACAACCAATTAATCTGTAATGATATCAACACATTATATATATATATATATATATATATATATATATATAGAGAGAGAGAGAGAGAGAGAGACATATACATATAGAACGATATTATATAGAACGATTGTTAGAAAAATAGCATACACAACGGAAGCATTCCAGAATCATACATCTTGCATGAATATAAACAACAACCACAAATAGTCATCACATACAAAGTATGCTGAGAATTAACTCAGGATTACCTCTTGAAGCGTGTGCAGATATCTTGAAGTAAATCCATCTCCAGCTCTATAGTCTTCTACAGTGATCCCAATCAACAATTGAACTCTCTCAATACTTGGGTGGGCAAGTATTGTATATAGAATCCTCTATCAAATCTAGGTTGGAAGAATCCATATTTATAGAGATGTCTTCCTAGTCCAAAAAGGAGAAAAAAAGTCAATTCTTTTTCTTCAAGAAAACTTCAAAACACACATTTTTCCTTCAAAGAAAAAAGAAACGCTACTTTTTCATCTTCTACTAGAAAATAGGATTCTGAGTTCTAGTTAAATTGGGCACTGGAGGGACCACCGAATTTATTACTGAGGCTTCCTATTATGGAAATAATTCTAAATAATTAATTTGAATTATTCTTACCATAATAAATTAAAAAATCACTCCACTAAAAAATCATAATTGAACTCCTTTATTTATTTCAAAATTCACCACTAAACACTTATTTGATTCTCCATGTTAAGATTACCGATACTAATCAATAAATTAAATTATTGACATATTTAATTCAATGATTAACTTCTTTTAGAGCAATACTTATTTCATGTGCCAGATTCATAAATCTACCGGTCGGGTTTACACATGAAAACTTACAAGCTTCTCATAAAAGGTGTATCACCAAACTCTATGCTGAGACATGGATTCCATCAACTAACTAATTATTTCACCAATATATATTATTATCATCCAATCTACCAGGCATATTGACCCATCTCAGAATCTCACCTTTTAATAAACCAAAATGATAGTTAATATATACAGATCATAATCGTTATATCAAGATTAAGAATATAAGTACATTTAATAGTTTAGAGAATATGTTTTTATCAGTCAGTCTAAAACAACTATCTCTGCTTGGTCCCGTCAATACATACTAAATGCACTAGCACGAGAAGTTAGAACTATGTCATTCTCATAATCAAGATAAATTACATTTAATCTTGTGCTACAATCTTTCTGATGATTTTGTCCAAATTTCCATCTATGATTGTGAACTATAAATTTTAACTTATAAGAACTGGTGATTTAATCTTCTGTGTATAAGCTTAAACTCTATACACCAAATCATCTACTATATAAGTTAAGGACACAAATATGACAATTGATCTATTTAACGTAACACTTTATTGAATTGAATAAATGAATAAACAATTGTTCAATATTAATACTATATCAAAACGCATGGTTAATAGTATATCCTAACAATCTCCCACTTAGACTCATAACCATGTACCTACAACTCTAACACCCATTCCTTCAACATGTCTATCAAAAGACTTTTGCGGTAAAACTTTTGTGAAAGGGTCTAGAAGGTTGTTCTATGATGCAATCTTCGCCACCATGACATCCCCTCTCTGTACTATGTCTCGAATCAAATGGTATTTTCGCTCAATGTGGTTTTCCTTCTTATGACTTCGTGGTTCCTTTGAATTTGCAACCGCTCCACTATTATCACAAAACATTGTAAGTGGCATTTCTATTGCAGGAAC